TCAATCTAAACTAGCTAGGAAGAATACTAGATGATAAAAGCACCAATCAACAGACCATGTCCACTTCTTGTTCCTCTTCTTTTTCTTCATTTTCTTCATCTTCTTCTTACTTTTCCTCTTCTTTTTCTTCATTTTCTTCATCTTCTTCTTACTTTTCCCAATCAAGTTTTTCTGCCCAGTCTTCTCCTTGTCCCAGGTGTGAGGTGATACAAGGGTCTCCAGGCAAAATGAAGGGGAAATCTCGAAAGGCACAGCAATCTCGAAAGGCACAGCAATCTCAAAGGAAAACTCAAAATCCACATCAATCTCGTAAGTGTCGGGAATCTTGAAAGGCCAATCACTATTGAAAGGCACAGCAATCTCGAAAGGCACACCAATATCCTTGGCATTCATCGACATCAACTCACACCCAATGAGCCTCTTGCAACTGAGGTTGAGCAGGAGCTTATTCCAATTTTCTGCAAAAGCAAGCGGCCGCACGAAAACATCGGGATTGATCTTCAGCTGGACAAGCGGAATCCACAATTCCGGGTGTTTCATAATCCAGATCACGAACCGGGACTCGTATGCACAGCCCAAAGAAAGCTGCCCCTCAATCGCATCAACAGTAACAAAGCCCTCTCTTTCAATCTCATCGGGCATCCCAACCCTAAACTCCTTCTCGTGTACGAGGCTAAAACCATATAACTTCGCTACAGACGGATGCGGATCGGGCCACATCTGGTCAATCGTGTAAAGGACCCCGTCGACATGGGCGGGCCAATGGCGGTTAATATGGAGCGGACTGGTCCTGTTCCAGGAATTCGACCTCAAGCCGTAAATCGAGTACTCGTACTTCGAAAACGGAAACGGCCTCTTCAACCTGTATTGCAATTCCTTGACGACCTTGTAGTCATCGTTTACTGGGTCGTATCCGAACCCGTACGTGGTTCTGCAGATATGAGGCTCTTCCGGTGGTTGACAATAGCGGGGGCACGCGGGCAAGACCTTGTGCTCTCTCGTGAAAGGGTTCCACAGCACGGGAGGGGCCGGCTCCCTCATCACAACAACCATGCCGTTGACGGAGTTTGAAATCGCGTGCTCGTCCTTTTCATCGTACTTGAATGCAGGCTCGAAGGAC